TACATGTGTCTATCGTCCAATAGGATGGAAGAATGTACACATGATGTCATTTTCTGCCTCCTGTGTGACTTCCTCATGATTTCACTTGTATAAACGACAGAATTCATATTCATTTATAATTTCTGATCAATATGAGCTTTCGATTGATTCTCAAACTCTATTATTTGCTTCTTTTTTTCCCAGGCTTTATTTGTTTTGACCTGATCCCAAGGAATAATCCCACCAAGCATAGGTGAGAATCCACGATTCTGCACTCACACACACTCACCATAGTTGTTACTTGCCTAACTCTTATCCTGACTCCAAACCTTAAAACATGTCCTCACCTTGAAATGGAGTGATTTAATCTATGGGGACTTGCTTTTTGTCCCCATGAGGGAAACAAGTCCCCATAATGTGACTGTAACCAGATTTAGGTCCCCACAACGTGAGTAATACCTGGACCCCACAAAAACACACATTCATGAAAATACTCTGCTCTGCAACAAATATTTAAGATCTGCACTTAAAAAGTAAAACAGAGGCGAAATATATCATAAGATAAAATAATATCTGTTTTGTCGTCTACTTATATAAAATCTGAATTAGCAAATTTTACCTGTAAATTGTACTTTAACATTTCTTTGGTGGTGTAATATTTAATACAGTTTAATGTCTTAACTGTTACGACATGAACACATGTTCAGTCTGAAATTAAAACAACACGGAACCAGATCCAGACGAGGTTCTGGTAGAAAATGCAGTTTATTACAGAGAGACTTCAATGCAGTCGACCTTACAGTGGCTGCATTTCGCTCCCACTGTGAGTGAACCCACTTTACAGTCTGTCATGTGATCTGTCTACCGAGAAGATGTTTCTATCACGAGGTCCATCGACCTGTGATTTAAAAAATTGCCTGCTGCCAGAGGAGGGAGCTGTTTTCCTCCCTGTAACTCAGGTTTTCACAAGTGGCCCAGTTAATGGCTGCTGGGATTCACACTTTCAGTGTCAGGAAGACTCCTCTGTTTTCACAGCGATTTCACGCGGTTGACGGCAGACGGCTGTAAAAAAAAACAAAAAAAAACCTGTTTCCATGAAACTGAATGAGGGGCCAAAGTGTTGCACTGCTTTCGTGGCAATCGTCTGTTATATGTAGACAATAACCATGTTTCAGCAGCCTCAAATGAAAAGGCCCCTTTTCCAAGTGCTTCAGTGTCCCGACCTTACTTTAGTTTATTCGTTTATTTAACACAAGAATTTTATATGACTAATCTGCATCTGGGCTTGACAATATAAAAGCCAGTATGTAAAAACTATTACCTCGTATTAAGAACATGATAGAAAATAGTCTCCAAGTTAGAAAATCAAAGGTCAGTGATTTGTCTTGAGTCCTGTTTTAAGTGTCGTTGTTAACCTTCTCTAATGTTGGTCGGAGTTGAGTTTCATTTCATCGTACAAAAAGCACTTTTCCTGGTTTTAATCCAACGATCACCTCTGACTGATGCTCCGGAGACTCTATCAGTGTCTCTGCAGAGGGACACACACTGTTTAAGTGGTGGTGGCGCAGGATCATACATTTAACGGTCAAAGGTCAATAAATTATACTTTTGACTCTACACTAGAATGACTCTCACTGAGTTTTTATGACAACTGAAGCTACCACAGGTTCTTGTTCATGTTCGGAAGGGGAGGGTGAGGTGAGGGGTGTTCAGCTGCAACATGTAACTTCAACAATAGACATCACACAATTCTACACACTGTACCTTTAATCCAAGCTTTGTGAGAATGTGATTTAGGATTCAGCACCCCAGACTCTGACTGACTTGCAATACTTTGGTTTCCTGTCTTATTTAAGTAGCTTTTATGTTAACGGCCTCAAGCAAATACACATTGTACTGAATGTAAAATCAACAACAACGTGTCAACACACAAATGAACAGATCTCGACCCATATAATCACACCTACAGGGTTCTGGAGTGACATGTAGCAGTGCCCCTCCACCCACTTCTCGAACATCACGTCCTGAGTCTAATCACAACTGTCACTACCAGTAACAGCTGGCTGGCCGAGGATGGCAATAAATGTTCAGTGACTTTTGGACTTGAGGAGTTTGCAAAACGACACAGAGGCAGTTAGTGCTTTTCGATCACACCTCTGTTGACAGTCCTCATAGCAACATGTTCATAAAACCCACCAGGGAGAAATGTAGCGGAGGTTTATTGTTGGCAGGAAGTGAACATTTATTTACTTTAGTAGCA